CATCTCAGTCCCCAGACCTCAATCCAATCGAAAACCTGTGGGGTGAGCTAAAGAGGAGTGTGCACAAGAGAGGACCCAGGACACTGGATGATCTAGAAAGATTTTGCAAAGAAGAATGGTCAAAGATCTCTCTCTCTGTGTTCTCCAATCTTGTGAAATGTTATAGGAGGAGATTAAGTGCTGTCTTGTTGGCAAAAGGGGGTTGTACAAAGTATTAACATCAGGGGTGCCAATAATTGTGGGACACATGATTTGAAGTTTTTCTTTTTTTTAATTTTTAATTTTTTTTTACCACCAAAGTAATGTACTTAAATAAAAGGTTGGATTTTTCTCTTTTTTTGCATTTGGATTCTATGTTGTTTAAAAAAAAGGGAGAATTTTTAGAAGTCCTCGACCACATCTTAAACAGGGGTGCCAATAATTGTGGAGGGCACTGTATATTTTTGTATTAATTGTTTAATGGAAACTAGGGGTGTAACGATTCATCTACTACATCAATTTATATTCATACGATCCAACTACATCGATCTGTACTCTGCTAGTTGGCCTTCCAGACGGCATATATCGATCTAAAATCGTTTAAAAGTTAATCAATCTATTGTATCGATACTAGGAAATAACGCATTGAATTTAAGCACGTCAGACTTTATATGGATGTTTTTTTCTTAGAACATTAGTTTTAATATATAGGCGTTAAACGTTACTCGATTCAGTCTGCCTATCTGTGACGTTATCGCCACGCACCAGCAGCAGCAGCAGCACAAAGACAACATAGCATGGCGAATGACAAGGAGAAGCCGATGAGCGAGAAATGATCAGTGTGTGAAAACACATTGGCTTTTGTAAAGACGGAGATGTTCTAAATGAGTCACTCGCTGTTTGTAGGAATCTAGACGAAACAAACTAGACGAAAATGTTAGATAGTGTCGATCTGGGAAGCGATCCAGTCAGAAATGATGTCCTGCGTGTGTGGTAGATGCGCACATTTGTACTACTGTAACGTGCTGATCTACCCTGCAGTCTCATAAAACATTAAAATATGTCAGCGTCTGGGAGGATGAGTAGTAGAGTATGCATATAGATCTGAATAAGAGTGACGATGCAAAAAATGATTTCGGTGCGCTCACACCCGACCAACCCAAACAACCAAGCATGCACATAGACACCTATACAGCTCACGAGTAATGAATTGAGTTCTCTTTCGTGTCAGAATGGACAAATACACACAACACTAAATGTGCGTTTTGAAGAAAGTGCATCAGTGCAATTGTTGTCACGTTACGCTAAATAGAACCCAAGCGCAGACAGAAACTCTCTCAAAACACCATTTATTTATAACTGGAAAACAAAGACCCACGATGGAGCAAACAAACAGAAACTATAAGACAATAACAGACTTGACAATATAACTGGAACATTCACAGACAGATCACAGTACTCACAGAACCGACTGTTAACAATACGAACCAGCACTGAGGAACAAACACTGAAAGCTTACATAGAACACAATCACAAAAGGTACAGGTGACACTGATGAACATCAATACTAACGAGGGAACAAGAGGTGTGGTAAGGACACGTGATCACAATCACAGGTGACACGGATACAACATAAACTAACAAGGAAACGAGGTAACACAAGACAATGCAAACACATAGCCCAAAACAACCGGCCATGTGCTTGCACAAAAAACAAGAGACAAATACATGACATAACCTCCTCCTTACGGAGCGGCAACCAGACGCTCCACATGGGACATAACAGACTGTAAACTAGACATAAACCAACAAAACATAACGACCATCAACAGTGGCAAACAAGAAAACATAACAGTGGGATTGGGATGACACAATAAAAATAAAACATGAGGGGGGGTGGGGGAACAAAAGAGTTCGTAGGTGGAGGTCCCGAGTAGGTAGGTGGAGGTCCAGAGTGGGTGGGTGGAACAAAAGCCCTGGATTCACTGGACATGGGCAATGATTGAGGACACAAAAACCGGGCAGTTCTGCGTGGAGACACATGAGGTACAGTCTTGGGAGGAACATGTCGGGGCACAACAGGAACAGGGGTAATCGGGGAAAAAAACAGGGGACACAACCGATGTTGCTGCAGCAAGCAGAGGAGCCGAAACAGAATCCAAAACATGGGGTGTTGCCTCTGGCAACGGAGCTGGGACAGGGGATACCACAGATGGCTCAGCATGGACAGTCCTATTCTCCTTAGCTGGGACAGAACTGTTCTTGGTCACTCTCCCATCCACCTCAGCATGGACAGGACTAATAGATGGGACATGGCTGGACATGGTCACTCTCTCATCTACCTCAGCATGGGCCAGACTGACAGAAGCAACCTGGAGAGTCGGCACAGAGCCAGGAAGGGACTGAGATGGTGATCCTGACGATCTCTTCCTCCTCCTCTTTGACCGCGGTCCAGGAGAAATAGCCGGACCTAGGATCCCCGCAATGTCCGTAGCAAAAGCTGAAGGACCTTTCATAGATGTCGAAGTGGTGAGAATGTGGTTGCCAAGCATTGTCGTGGCTAGGACGTGACTCTCCGGTATCACTGGCAATGCAGAAATTGACAATGTCCTCGTGGGTCCTTTCGCTCCTTTTGACACACATGGTCCACTACCTCTCGAAACGGGCGTCGGATCAGCCCCTGCCGTTCAGCCAGCGGAGGAGGTACATTGAGCCCTGCGATGAAATAAGAGTTTAGGAGGACCTCCGGCGTGAAATTTCTCTTCTCCTCTAGGCCCTGGGCAAATCTCTCCAGGGATCTCTCTCCCCGGGGAGGAAACGGAATCTTGCCCCTCCTCATATCCTCGATGGTCGACTGCCACCATCGCTCCTGGTCACCCAACTGGCTACTGGCGGAACAAGACATAGCCTATTGTCTGCTGGGTTCAAAAATTGGCTGGTTCGTTCTGTCACGTTACGCTAAATAGAACCCAAGCGCAGACAGAAACTTTCTCAAAACACAGTTTATTTATAACCGGAAAACAAAGACCCACTATGGGCAGGCCCGGATTAAGAGGACTTTCACTCGCTGTTTGTAGGAATCTAGACGAAAAAAAACTAGACGAAAATGTTAGATAGTGTCGATCTGGGAAGCGATCCAGTCAGAACTGATGTCCTGCGTGTGTGGTAGATGTGCACATTTGTACTACTGTAACGTGCTGATCTACCCCGCAGTCTCATAAAACATTAAAATATGTCAGCGTCTGGGAGAATGAGTAGTAGAGTATGCATATAGATCTGAATAAGAGTGACGATGCAAAAAGTGATTTCGGTGCGCTCACACCCGACCGACCCAAACAACCAACCATGCACATAGACACCTATACAGCTCACGAGTAATGAATTGAGTTCTCTTTCGTGTCAGAATGGACTATTACACACAACACTAAATGTGCGTTTTGAAGAAAGTGCATCAGTGCAATTGTTGTCACGTTACGCTAAATAGAACCCAAGCACAGACAGAAACTTTCTCAAAACATCATTTATTTATAACCGGAAAACAAAGACCCACGATGGGGCAAACAAACAGAAACTATAAGACAATAACAGACTTGACAACATAACTGGAACATTCACAGACAGCTCACAGTACTCACAGAACCGACTGTTAACAAGACGAACCAGCACTGAGGAACAAACACTGAAAGCTTACATAGAACACAATCACAAAAGGTACAGGTGACACTGATGAACATCAATACTAATGAGGGAACAAGGGGTGTGGTAAGGACACGTGATCACAATCACAGGTGACACGGATACAACATAACCTAACAAGGAAACGAGGTAACACAAGACAATGCAAACACATAGCCCAAAACAACAGGCCATATGCTTGCACAAAAAAACAAGAGACAAATACATGACAATTGTATCCGCATGTCATTGGACATGATGTGGCAGTGACAACAAACGCGGTCTGTGTCCTTAATATTCAAGTGACAAAAGAAAAAGAGAAAAGCATTCACTGTTTGTTAATAGCTTTAATACGGATTAATTATAATTCATACAAATAAATTTGTCTACTTGAATGAATAAAAGAATGATGTATGCAAGTATTTATAAAGAATGCATATATCATTAATTGAAAAGAAGACTGTTCTACTTTAGGAAAAGTGGTTTTTATTAAGCTATTTTTCATGTCACAGTAGGTAAATCTGTAAATGTATTGTATGTTCAAACTTAAAAATCATTAATATTAATAGGTTCATAGATGTTTTCTCCGGGAATGTGTTTGGAAATTTAAGAGAAATTCTAAATTAACCAGGTTAATAATGTTAATAACCTTATAATAAATAAATAAATTCAGGTATTTATTTCAGTCACACTGGTTGATATTTTTGGCTAAAAAGTTACTGAATCGATTTCAAGTCACTGAATCGTTTCGGATCGTATCGTTCTAAATGAACCAATATCGTCCTTGAATCGTGATACGAATCGAATCGTTGTTAAAACGAATTGCTACACCCCTAATGGAAACCCATTTACCTCAGTATCTGTAGCTGACAGTTTGGACTCTTCAGTCCATCAGAAAGCAGCTTCACTCCAGAATCCTGCAGGTCATTGTTACTCAGGTCCAGCTCTCTCGGGACGGTGTTTGAGGATTGAAGAACTGATGATAAACTCTCACAAGTTTGAACAGTGAGTTTACAGTGATGTAACCTGTGTGGCGAACAAGATAAACACCGATATTAGTTGGCTTAATGTTTTTAGTAAATATATATTACCTTCAGTTATTTTCATGCTTAAGCATGTTAAAATGTATTTTGAGAGGTCTGTTAATTTAACTGTTCCTTCTATTGCTCTACTATATTTGATCTTTCATTTAATTGCACAGCACATATTTAGAGCAGCTCCAGCAGGCCTCAGCGCAGATCCACTTTCTGGCCGAGTTTAGCTTAAACCCTTATCAAATACACCTAAACAAACTAACCACAGTCATCTGGATTACTAGAAAGTTGCCGGCGGGTGAGTCTGATCAGGGTTAAACTCTGCAGGAAAGTGGATCTTGAGGGCCACAGATGAGAACCCTTGGTTTATAATCTGAAACACACACACAAAAAAATCCCCAGAGTAAAATGAACACTGCTCATATGTGTCCACTTTACAGACTACAACTGACTTACAGCCCCACAGCACAGTCGGCTGGTTAGCAGGTTGGCTATCCGAACTAGCCTCCAAGTACGGACAGAGTCGGAAGTGAAGCTACACTGGAACTTAGCAAGCTTGGGCGAATGGTTCAAACGTTTAAGCAAGAACTTACGGATGATCCTGGAAAAAAGGAGTGTCTGGAAGTGGGACTTTGGAAAAAGGTCAACTTAAAATGAAGAAGATGAAGAAGGCAGCGGGTAGGCACAACTGTGTTGAGAATGGGTCAGAGTCTGAGGGGAGGGACACTGATAAGGGTGATAGTGAGGGAGGTATGGATGTAAGTCAGGAAGGTGAGAAAAAGGGACAAAAGAGGAAATACTTTTGCTGGGAGCAGTACAAAGAGGGCAAGGAGTAATGAGGATTATGGGAAAGTAAAAAAGATAAAGGTACAGAAGGACTAGAGTTTAAAATCATATTGAGATTTGGTGAGGAGTGGGGAGTTTTGTCAATAAGTCCAGTGAAATTAACAACTGTATTGAAAAACCAGATCGGCGATATTGTAGTAGCCAAGGTGTTGAGAGATGGTAATCTAATGATCGGATGTAAAAATGAAGAACAAAGAGAGTGGGCTGGAAGAATTAAAGAGATTGGAAAGTGTAAAGTAATAAGTACAAGTCAAATTGAAAAAGGAAATGTAAAGACAAGTCAGTCCGATCAATGGGGAATTTGCATATCATAATTAATAATTGATAATTAATAATTATTCATACAGATTTGGATCAGACCAGTCTTACATGTAATAAATCTCCCTAGGCACGGGCGAACCGGGCAGTCGCCCGGGGCGGCATTTCTTCATGTCACATGGGGGGCGGCACGAGCAGTTAAAAAAATACTCTGTGCCGCAAAGTTTTTCTATTTTTAATAATTTCGGTTCAATTATTGGCAATGGCGCCCTGCTTGCTGAGAAGGTGCCGTGCGCAGAAGCGATGTCAAGGGGATCTCCTGATTAGTTCTGGTATCGCGTCTTTTGCGCGCTCAAGGTCGTTATTTCAAATCCTCTATGTTTCAAATAGGCGCACGGGAAGTGCGCTCATGGGAAGCGCGCTCATAAACTTTTCAGTATGGGAGTGCACGTGCACCCAAACACTTGGGTGTTTTCTCTTCTCCGTAAATAAATCTTTTAGCAGAGCTACAGCAAGCGTTTTTCTGTGGTGGAAATACATTAGCTACTAAAACTCCTTTGTCGTTGTGGAGAGTGGAGTGCAGTGAGAGTGTATGGTTCAATAGCAACGACAGCCATGGGAAAATCGGTACGAATTTTACTATTAATAATAAAAGATAAGCTACTGAGCATTATAAATGTCAGGAATGTATCTTTATTGACTCATTCTTTTTATAGAGATGATTTAAATGCTGAAATATGAGGTTTATCTTTATATAAAAACTTTTTTTGTGTTAACCTTTTTTTAAGTTTAGTAGGTAAGATGAAAGACACTCCTTTAAAACAAATCTTTAATGTTATTAACTTGGTGAATTGATTTCACTGTGTATTAGGCTTTTTGAACAAGATTCTGTGTATGTGATAATTTTGGTCACCATATTATCTAATACTTTTCATAATGATCAACTAAAATCAACTTTAATTATGAGTTTTTACAGTAGCCTATAATATGCAAAGTTTTCTCGAAGGGGGTCTCACCCTGGGTGTAATTCAAAGTAGAACCGCCACTGCCTGCATGCATCCATGTGTGTCTCTACAATTAACCACAAATTAATTGTAATTAATTACACAGACCACGTTTTACAAGACAATTAAAATTAATTAGCTCAATTAATTTATAGAGTTTGTGAAAACAAATTCTGTGGTCACAAGAATTAGTTTTCCTGCTCTATAAAAACATACCCTTTTAAGGTATCTTTGAATAACTTAGCTAGCTTTTGATCGACATTTCAGGGACTTGGGAAATGAGCAAAGAGGCAGTATTCCAATCAAAATTTAATATATTGCATTTAATAAGGCAACTACTTAAACATTTACTATGTTACAATGATACGTGTATTTACAAACATTAAAACACAAACTAAGACGACGCTGGGCGTTTTGACAATGGAACACGTGTAAATTGAGTTGGCGGGAGAGAGAGACAGAATGTAGAGAGAGAGAGAGAGTATTGAGAGACAGGGTTACATTTCCCCAGACAGTCAACCTTTCTGACACACCTCGAAAACACATTCTTAATGCTTCTTAGAAGCACTAAAAGAAGGTATACTTGCAAAACAAATTTGGTCTGTGTGAGACACGGCGGGCTCCTTGCTGGTGCTGTCCTGCGTGCGCGCGTCACATGGAGCGTGGCCGCGGCGTTTTTGCATGGCCCGTCCCGGCGCATGCATGGTTAGTTGCGTGCGCGTGGCTCCTTTGTTCCCTGGGAAGTCACATGATGCAGCACGAGTCTTTGAACAGCGGTTGGACATCTTTGAGGTGACGTTACCCGAGGAAATAGTTCAGCAAAGTCCGCTTACTTTCCTGGGAGGCGAACTTGCTAGTAAACTTAAAGAAGAGACGAACTTTAGACGAACAAAATAAAGGATCCAGGTTTTGGACCTGATCTCCATGAGGAGATCACAAGAGTTACATGTTGCTTGACACTATAGGTTTTCAGCAAGAGGGCGGGTGGAGCCGCGCTCCTTCATTTATTACCTTGGAGAAATCCATCCCCTTCCTGTTGGCTGGAGCCAATCGGGGGAATGGACGTTGCACGCGGGAACTCTCGGTTTATTGTCCTTTGTTCTCAGAGCACGTGCTCCTCATGGGAGGGGCTGTGTTCAAGGAGGGTTTTATAGTTTAACAGTGTGATCTTCAATGGCAGTAAAACATATTAAAAATACACTTTACTTTATATCTCTGTGCATATTCAGATATTTCATTCAATAAGCATTCTGGAGACATCAAGGAACATTATGTTACATTAAAGGAATATACACTTATGTTTAAAATGCATAAAGAAGGTATTTCTAATTCCTCTTTATGCCGCGAACAAACAAAGATATTTCACGGTGACATGGGGGGGAAACGCATACATAACAAAATATACTTAATGGTTTTATGTATTTAAACAGAAATGTCCGTCTCTTTGTTCAGAGACCCACTCCTGTTATATTCCAATGTGTCATAAAATCTTGTAACTTGATACTCAATGGAGTAAGTGGATGAATGTGTGTGTGTGTGTGGGAGGAGGTTGAGTCGCCTGGCAAAAGTCCTTACAGAAACATGTGGAGTAAGGGAGTGATATGGGGGGTACCAGTCGGGGTTACTATAGAGGAAATTAAAGCAAATCTTAGAGGAGGATATCTAAAAGGCGCTCGAACGATGCAGATAACTCGGGAGGGAATGAGGAAGGACAGTGAGCTTGTGATTCTGGAGTTTGAGGAGGAAGTGCTCCCAAAGAATGTAACACTAGAATTTATGAGTTATAGTGTAAGAGAGTATGTTCCAAAGCCAATGAGGTGTTATAACTGTCAAAGGTTTTGATATACATCAATGACATGTAAAGGCAGAAGGTGTGCAAGATGTGGTGAAGATCATGAGTATGGTCATTGTAATCATGAGCAACCAAAGTGTTGTAATTGTGGGGGTAGTCATAGTGTGGCTTACGGTGGCTGTGAGGTGATGAGAAGGGAAATAGAAGTACAATGAGCTAAAATTCAAAATAAGATCTCATATGCAGAAGCTGTGAAAATGGTCAGTAAGAGTGATGAAAGAAACAGAGTTGAAATACAAAATACAAAAGTACCAGATCAGGCAAAGGAGGGGATAGTAACAGTTTATCTAAAGAAGTTAGTCACTTTCATAGCAGAGGTGATAAATGCAACTATGGAGGGTAAGTCTAAAACAGACAGAATACAAATAATTGTTAAAGCGGCAGTTCATCACCTAGATATCAGGGAGCTGACATGGGAGGAGGTGAGGAATGAGCTAAGCAATCAAGCAAGCCAGGAGCAAGTAGGGACTGGATAGTATTAATAATGGTCCTCTTGTTACAATGGAATGCAAGGAGCTTGATGGCCAATGGACAGGAGTTTAAAAAGTATATTGATGATCTTTCCAATAAACCAGACATTAGGTTGAGGCCAAATTTACAATTCAGGTTAGATGGATATGCCTCTGTAAGGTGTGATAGGGAAGATGGAGCAGGGGGAGGATGTGCTACATTTATTGGAAACGATATTTCATTCTGTAACAGTTCGAAATAGACCCAAAAGCGAAAGCTGGTGAATGATTTATTGAACAGAAAGTAGATAAATGCAACACAGGCTGTCTGCCGAACACATGTAGACTTGATGAACGCAGAACAGGAAAAACGGCTTCAGGCAAGATGATAGACGCTGGAAGGCGATCAGGTATTGCTCACAGGAAAAGGCAAACGCAGACTCCACCAGGCAGTAACCGCAGCACGGAGTAGCAGAACAGACTCAGGATAGCCGGAGCAGTAACTCATCTGAGATATTCGTACACACAGGACAAGAAACAGTTGCAGAGATTCACAGGCATAAGTAACGGACATGAATGAACAAACAATAACCCGACAAGAAGGGAAAAAAGCATGAGGTCTAAATAGCCAGAAAATCAGGGCAAAAGAGGAACAGGTGTGAGAAGAGCAGGAGAGAGATCGCTGATTGGGAAAGGACACAGGTGTGCGAGAGCACCGAGAAAGAGAGAGAAAAAGCAGAACAAAACTTGACTCCTGACACATTCCGAGAATTGAGTGTAGGGGGGAAAGAACAAGAGTATGTTAGTGTGGTGATATGGATGAATGAGGGAGAGTGTGTAATTATAAATTTTTATAATCCTTGTAGGAAATTAGAGTTGGGACAGATAACACAAATAGTAGGATTGGGTGGTAATAAGCTGGTAGTGTGTGGTGACTTTAATGCACATAGTACTTTATGGGGAGGAATAAGAACAGATGCAAATCGTGAGGTTATAGAAGAACTGTTAGAAGAGAGAAACATGGTTTGTTTAAATGATGGGAGAGGGACTAGAATATTGGAAACAAATAAGGATCAAAGGGAATTAGTGGGGAAGTGGATATTTAGTAGTGCAAAATATTCAAATAATTTGAATATTCACAAAATGTGTGGGTCTAGGTAAAAAATGTAGTTTTCCTGAAAACTATTGAAATGGATTTATAGCGTTTTGGAAAAGAGCTCTTCATTTAAATATTTGTGTGAGATAGAAATGGACAAAATAGATCTAAATGAGGAAATAGAAGAGATTGATAAAAGTATTACAACAACAATATTACAAGTTGCCAAAGAATCGATCCCTAAAAGTAAAGGGAAAATGAAAAGAAAGGCAGTTCCCTGGTGGACAGAAGAATGTGGGAAAATAGTGAAAGAACGGAATAAAGAAGAAGTATTAAGAAGAACCCATAATTTTCAGAATTTGATTAAATATAAAGAGACACAAGCAAAGGCTAGAAGAAATATACGAAAAGCAAAAAAGCAAAGCTGGCAGATTTTCTGTAATAAAATTGGTAGAACAACACCTGTTGGAGATGTGTGGAACATGATTAAGAGTATGTGTATAACCCCTCACACCCGGGTCCTACTCGCCCTGCTCCGAGCGGGCCTCGAACCCGGGCCTCCGGCATGAGAGTCAGGCGCGCTAACAAGGAGGCTAAAGACTGCAGCCTCTAGCCTCTGTCGCTAGAGCGCCTATTGAGATTAGAGGAGTGAGGTTTACTTGCACAGCAACTACTAGCTGGCCTCCGTTACACTCACCCCCTAAACCTCACTCTCATCCGGGTCACGGCACCAATGTAACCTCTCACACCCGGGTCCTACTTGCCCCGCTCCGAGCGGGCCTCGAACCCGGGTCTCCGGCATGAGAGTCAGGCTTAGGGGGGTGAGTGTAACTGAGGCCAGCTAGTAGTTGCTGTGCGAGTTAACCTCACTCCCCGATCTCAATAGGCGCTCTAGCGACAGACGCTAGAGGCTGCAGTCTTTAGCCTCCTTGCTAGAGCGCCCGACTCTCATGCCGGAGACCCGGGTTTGAGGCCCGCTCGGAGCGGGGCGAGTAGGACCCGGGTGGAGGGGTTACATATCCAAGGAATTAGAAGGGAATGGAAGTATCCCATATTGAAGATGGGGGAGGAAGCAGCAGTGTCTGACCAGGAGAAAGCAGAGATGATAGTGAAGGCATTTACTCTTATTCATAGTTCTGATAACTTAATGGAGGAGGGCAAGAGAGGAAGGACAATTAAAAGATTAGTATATGGAGATTTACTTGAAAGAAGGGAGGATAGTAACAGTATCATGGATGCACCAATTACAATGGAAGAAATGAGAAGGGCAATAAAAGGATCTGGATTAACATCTCCAGGTAAAGATGATATCTGTTATGTAATGATAGAACATCTAGGTGTTTTAGCGTCTACAAAGTTGCTAGGGTTTTTTTTTTAATAAAGTATGGGATTTAGGGAAATTGCCAGCTAGGTGAAAAGAAGTAGTAATTATTCCTATCAGGATTTGTAAATGTATAATTCGTAGCCTGATTTATATAACATTTAAAAATCAATTGCTGTGTCCGAAATCTCCACTCAAACCACTACTCCCTACCCCCTATGTTGGGGGTAGAGAGCAGAGCACTATATAGTGAGCTCACCAGCATAATAGAAACACCACTTTCGGACACTACTCGATCGTCTCGTTGATTACATCATCCGTCAGCTGGTGCCGAGCCGGCCCTTGGCTAAATAGATTTTTAAAAATAAATAAATTACATTTTATTGAGCTTATTTCTCCAAAATTTAAAAACTAAAAGTGATTTCTAGCAGTTTTTGTTATAATGCACGACTCCACACATGATTATAACTTATTTTTACGATCGGTGCAATGCATGATGGTATGTAGGGCTTAGGTTAGTGACCATCGGTTGTACACTACTTTTCAAAATGCATTCTGGGATACATTGAGTGGACTATATAGGGTATAATAATCATCACTCAACATTTGGACAGCACTACAAAATGGCGAGCTCACTATATAGTGGACTAGTGGAGTAATGGGTGATTTCAGACACAGCAAATGAAAATCATTTTTTAAGGGTATTGACAGTATATTCTGATTTACAGGATAACAAAAGTAGACATCCACAAATCCCTCAGTAATTTTAAGAAAGAGCAGTACATGACGGTACGTGACAAACCAAAATGTATTGTTTGTTCAGAATTGGTTGTAGTAAAGGAGTAAATTACTCCTTTATGTGTAAGATCGCGATGAACTGTCAGCTTTTTAGGAAATATTATGGGAGCACACTTTGCACACATTCAGTAAGGCCAAACCATACACTGAGTAGCCTGCTTGTTTTATGCTCCTTATTTTTCTTCCGCAATCACACGTCTGCGCTTTGTTTCCCGGCGGATCGAAAATAAACGCGACAGTGACGCCCCCCGGAAATCCGATAAAATTCAACCAATCAGATGACGACTTCGACATTCCTGAAGTGTTTCCAGTTAAGTGTACCATATGCATCAGACGTTTAGCCAACGTTCCGTGGGCGTGACGTCTGAGGCTGAGACTAGGTCGGGCTTGACTTTTGGGCCACACTTACAGTTGAACACACTTAGTTATTTTCTGCTATTGGTATGAAAACTTTTTCTCTCAAACATTTTTTTTTCTCTCAGATAATTTATTTTCTCGCATGTAATAAAGACACAATCCTAGCTCCATAGACAATAACTTTATTATACAGCTTCCGTAAAGTCAAAATAATCTGTTAATTTAATATTCTATTATCACTGTAAAGCTGATTTGAAACAATCTTTTTAAAGGCACTATATAAATGAAGGTGACTTGACTTGTCATACTTCTCAACTCTGAAAATATGGACATCTGTATAAATATGGGGAAAAAAATCCCATTCCTGCAAATGTTGTTTCGTCTCTTGTTCTGGCATTCCATAAGAGCAGATGCCACATTCTGTGACTAAATCATTTACTGTGATAGTATTTCATTAATTATTTAACAAACATTTACCGCAGTATCTCCAGCTGACAGTCTGGGCTCTTCAGTCCATCAGAGAGAAGCTTCACTCCTGAATCCCGCAGGTCATTGTTACTCAGGTCCAGCTCTCTTAGGAAGGAGTTTGAGGATTGAAGAGCTGAAGACAAACTCTCACAACACTGAGCAGTGAGATTGCAGCTATGTAGCCTGTGAAGAGAAGAAAACAGCAGTAATGCAATAGTAATGTTTATTAGGTAGGGTTTATAATAATTTGGAAAAACGTTTGACTGAAGGGATGTAAGCAAAAGGGATGCACCGAGATCACCGGTATCGGGCCCGATACTGCATTCGTGTACTCATACTCAAAAAAATGATCCGATACCAAAAAATGATACCAGGAAGCATGTAACAGTGCAGAATAACACTGACAACAGAGTAGAATGGGAATAAAAAAGAAGGCAGTCTATTTAGTAAATATATCTAATTTGTGGAGTATTAAACAGAATATAGAAACGCCTATATAGCTGTAGTGTGCACGCTAATAAGAGAAAAACCCACAGTTGCACAGACGCGCAAGCTTGATGAGAGCATCTCTTTTTCACTGACGTCAGCGGAAAGTTTGTAGTTCAGTTAGATGTCAATGGCAAAGAAGGTAAAACGAGACATGTAGCTTATTAACAGTGGAGACTGTCTTTAAGACTGCAAGGGAAGCTCAGCTTCCCCTATAATGTCAAACAAATAATGATCAAATGTGTACTATTGTGTTAACATTTTATTGAGTAAAAATGCGTTAGAACACGGTAATCTCGAAGACGAGTTTGTTCAGAATAAGCTACAAATAGCAGGTCGGCTGACTTGATCTCCTTCTCATGCATACCTGTAGCGCGTCACAGTGCATGCATTTTCCTATGGCATTTCCCCGTTGAAGCTCGGCGTCCATTGACTTCAATGGGGCTGCTTGAACAGTTTTTTTTCAGCGCTGTTAAACTAGACGGTCATTGGATAAATGCTGCGATTATGTCCCGCCCACGGACGCCGGGCGTCTCTGGGGTGAATAGGGAAGTGGGCTGGCCTGGCGTCCGGGCGTCCGCGTGATGATTGGAGGATTGCATCTCCTTTTGATTGACAGCGATTTCACCCAATAAAAAAATCGCTGACGCGGACGCTAGTTTAAAGACTTCGAGCTCAGTCTCGTCGCGGATTTTGTGTGTATTTTACTCGACAGACGAACTGCTGTAACATATTTCTTAGTATTTGCAATTTTCATCAGATATTTCACAGTTCAACCTAATTCCCACATTTCTTCCGTCGATGTCAGGTGTCGTGTTACATGTGCGGGCGTGGTGTTTGAATCACGGCACATCTGTCTAGTTTGGTTTCACTTTTGTGTTGGGATTCGGACATGCATTCTCGGCGTGTTTGTTTTCGGTTGTGAGTGCACAGGATGACCTTATGGTCGTACTCATGCGTAACGTTAGCGTTCTGTCTTGTCGTGTTCGCTCTGTTCAGTGTGTTGTGTATTGTGTGGCACATGGTTTGTGTTTACATCGGCCGCGTGCTTTCATGTCATATTTTGTCTTGTGCTGTGTAGCACACAGCTTGTGTTTTAAACTAGCTGTGTGCTTTCATGTTGTCATGTTCTGTGTGAACACGTGTCTTATGAGTGTTCTCATCGTTCTTCAGGTCTTATTTTGTGTGAGCACAATATTGCTTTTTAATTTGTTTTATTGGTCATGTGTTTTTGTCATGTTTGGTATGAGCACATGGCTTGTGCTTGTCATGTGTTTTTCCTTGTGCCATATGTGCTTTCCTGTCATTGTGTCGACTCCCATCTTGTTTCCTGATTATTTGTTATTTTGCCCCACCTGTCCTCCCTCGTTACCTGCCTTTTTTTGCTCCCAATTTATTCCCCTTGTTTTTTTTTTGTTGTTTTTTTTATCAATAAAATAAAGCCCATCAACTCTGCATCGAGTCCCCACTCTTTTCACCATCCCCACCCCTGACAGTCGAGTTTAAAAAAAAAAAAGAAGAAAAAAGAGCTTCCCCTCTTTAAAACACCAGCAGCCGCCACTGCTTATTAATAACATTAACTGGTGAGAGAGAGAGAGAGAGAGCGCACTTATGTTGCACGCTATTAATCGTTCACTCAGCACACGAGTCATTTGGATTCAAGTAAAACATCAACTGTGGTTCCCTACATTATTACAGGATGTCTTCAAGTCAAGAAGTTTCATGAAAGCAAACATCTAAAGCGTGCGTCCCAAACACTGCGTCTCAGTTTGCGAATATTTAATTGAATTTTTTTCACGTCTAGTACGGACAAATTCATACAACATAATGTAAAAACGCATGTCTGGGTGAGTATCCTAGTAAACTTAGATGGTTTTATCTCAACTGCATGTAGACAGTATATTCAGATGGGATCCGTGCACTCGGTCATAAAGAGGCAGCAGTCTAAGGCCTCATTTACACTGCATGGTTCAAGTGACCCAAATCCGACTTTTTCCTCCCATGTGGCACAGATCGGATATGACCGGTGAACGTGTAAGCAGGAAAAAAAACGCATGCATTCCGATTTTCTCAGATCAGATTCAGGCCTCATTCATATGTGGTAATAAATCGGATATGAATCAGGTACGTGCATTTGCGTGTGGCATGTAAGCAGACAAATCGGATATTCCCCAGTAAATGCGAGTCATGCGTCATCAGTGGCGGCTGGTGAAAATTATTGTAGGGGGGGCTGAATAAGAGGGGGGTCTGGGGGTTCCCCCCCATAAAATTTTGAATTTAGTAGATGTGATTTCCTGCATTCTGGTGCATTTTAGGCCATGCCCTTACCTATACCAATAAAATAACTTAAACCAGTCAATACCAATGGTCAAATGATACAATAATAATAATAACAGTTTGACAGTTAATGATAATGAACAAGTTGCATGTTTATTATGCTCTGTGTGCTGACAGAAAAAGTGCAAACGCATAATATTGATAAATTATAATATAGGTAATACAAAAAAGAATAGGTAATACAACAATCTAGTTTAATCAATCCCCAGCTGTAGACTACATATTTTTGACAAATTGACAATTGGATAATGGATAACAATGTGTTGATACTAGAGAAAGAGAGAGAGAAAAGGCTGTGAAAGAGAGGGTGGGACAACATTCTTGATTGTAACACCCAAGTATGAGAAGAAAGTTGATTTTAACTAGTATGAAACACAGTAATCTAGCTCAGAACTTAAAAACATCAAAAAACAAAGCAAACACACAGGTATTAATATTCCTATAACTATTTTAATATCAAATGTGTGTGAAACAGTGTTTATGTGCGTGTGAGTGAGTGAGTGACAGAGACAGACAGGTCAATTCCCACGAATAACTTTACATTATTTCCACTCGACGTCACTGGCGCTGCCATTCTGCTCTCATCTGAGGTAAAAAAAAAAAATGTCCCGTGGTGCGCGTGCACGGTGCACTCCCCTAATCTGATACTGTGGGCGATATTTTCAGCGCCCCCAAACCATAAAATTTGACGGCGCTGATTGGCGAAATATAAACTTTTTTGCATAGCAACCGGGGAACCATTGGCTTAAATTCCAGCACTGTGGGGCTGAGCGAACTGGCGCCCTGAGAAGACAGCCTATTGGCTATACTACTACACCAACATGATAAAAGTAACGAAAGTGAATGCAAATATCATTCTGGTGAGTTCAAAACACTTTTCAAAGTAAAACCATTATTAGCATATAATTAACACAGATTATTTTTCAAAATAATAAATTATAATATATATTAAAAAAACAGACAGACAGGTCGGAGGGAGGGCGGCGCCCCAGCGCCCTCTATGGGCGAGCCGCCCCTGTAAAAACTGCGCGATTATAGGCGCAAGCCGCGCGATGGAAGAAAGGACACACAGTGGAGCAATGCGGAGGTTTCATGTCTTTTGAGTGTTTGGGGTGAAGAGTGCAGGCAAAAAATGCAGGGTTGTTACAGAAATAAGTCCGTTTTTGAAGACATTTCACGAGATATGAGGCATCGTTTTAAGTGCTCGTGGCCAGATCCTATCCTCTTTTTTTCTCCGCCGTATGAGACCAATGTTTTGATGACTTATTAAAACATTGTGGAAAGAAAACACTGGATAATTTTATTCGCATCTGTATCCATTGAATTTCGTGCTGTTTTGCTTAATTTCCCAGTTCAGAACCATCAGAACGTCTGCATTTGGTAGTTTCAGCAGTGTATAGTTTGAATGCAAAAATCGGATATGGGTCACTTTTAAAAGATGATGTAAGCACGTCATCAAAAAAATCGGATATAGTCAGAAAATCGGATTTGGGCATCAAGACCTGCAGTGTAAATGCAGCCTAATAAACCTGCTGCTGTGTTTTAATGTTATTCAAACAATAAAGGACAAATAAATGTCTCTCTGCTCTAGACTGAAACCCTTTGTAACTTTGAATATTCATCACTGTATAAATTGAATATAGAAGGATATTTACGGAGTTATTTCACATTTGATTACTTTATTCAAATTTCTGTACCTGAAAACGTGTCAGGTTACGACTGTAACCCGACTCCTCTATAACTAAACTCCACAGCTAGGGTCCTTACATACACAAAGAAATCTTCCCACATTACTCCGATTTTACGCAGACTTCATTGGCTACCGGTACGTTTTCGTAGTAACTACAAGATTCTCCTTATCACATTTAAAGCACACTTCACACACTTTGATCCTCTGATACTGGTCTTTTAACGATTCCACGGCACAAACTATCATCATTTGGTGGAAGGGCTTTTTGTACTACTGCCCCAACTGGAAGTCTATTTTGTTGAAAAATGTAATTTGATTAATGAAAATCAATACTGCTTCAGAAATAAAAGATCTACATCTATGGCTTTAATTAATGCAATAGACGAATGATCAAATGCTCTGGATATTAAAAATTTTACCATTGGAATATTTTTTATTTGAAAAAAGCCTTTGACACTATCGTTATTTAAAATATTTCAAACGGTACAATATCATAATTTTGTTAAATTCGGTATTTGATGCGCTGCTGTTTCGAAGTTCTCCACTAGGCAGCAGTGCGCTACCGAAACTGATGCGGTCACGTGAAACCGGCAAACGCTGACGAGGAAACACGATGGATTAAACGAAGCTCATTCGAATTTCTTCGTACCCGAAATCAAATAAAGAGAGC